ATTTATCCCCTGGCTGCTGTCAGATATCACAGAAAATCAGCACAAAAGGAGCTGGGCTCGCTGGAGAAACACACCATTTTTAGCGACATCTCTTCTGAATCCTCCTAATCTTGTGCAGCATCCTTTTGTCTTATTCCATCAAAGTGTGACAAAGCCTTTTCATGAGGGTTGTTTTACAGATGCTCGTAGTTCAGCAACGCATTTTTCCTCATTCATACGGAGCGCTGTCGTTGCTGTTAATTGTATATGTTACAGAACACCTCCGGGCCCTGCTGGGATGAGTGATGGGCATGTCGGTAACCAGAGGATTACAAGGCAGCAGCTGGGAGGGAACGGGGCGGCAGGGGAAGCTGGAGATGCCGCTGGGTCGGGGAAGGGCTGGCAGGAGCCCTCGCTTTCCCCTTTCCCAGGGCAGCGTGGCCCCTCGCTGGCTCTTCTGGGGACGGTCCTGGCAAGTGACGTGGTCCTGGGAGATGCTGTGGTGTGAGGGGTGCATACATATGCTCTGCGCTTCAAGATAAAGACGGTAAATGTGTTTGGCAAAGCTCTCCTTCAAAGCCGTGGTGGGCTTTGCGTGGCTCGCCTGCGTGTTGTGACCCATGGGAGCTCCCTCTTTCTCTGAGCCTGCCCCAACATCTTACCAGTCTCATGTTGTAAAAATAAAGGCACAAAAACTTGGTGCTGTACCGTTTTGGCTGGCTCTGACTTGGTCAAGCAGCCCCTGGGCTCTCAATGGCAGCTGGGCATCCAGGTTTTTCTGGCAGCTGGGAAAACATTCAAAATGAATTTCTCCCTTCCCTCCTCCTTGGAAAAAAAAAAAAAAAAGAAAAAAAAAGAAAATAAATTATTAGAGCTTGCTAAGGGTTTTCCGTTACACCATTAAACCGTGCACAGCATGCCTCTGAACAGCCCTTAGGGCTATGGTCCTCTGTCTTCCCATCCATCTTGTGTCTGTTGTGTCCCCGCTAACTTAAGGATGTTTCTGTGGAGGAGGACTGGAGACCCATTGCAGACGCAACCGCACATTGCGATCTCTCTCAGATCACAGATATTTTAATGCGGTTTTGTTTTTCGCCTTGTGATGAGGCCTTGAGTTCCTGTGCTGTCCCGTGCCGAGCGGTGCAGGGTTAGGGCATTGCCCGAGCTCCCAGGCAGAGCCTGTCCCAGCGGCGTGTCCTTCCCTGGCCACCAGACCTGGCAGAAAATTACCTGCATGATGCCCTGCGGCTTCAGGCCAGGCATGAGATGGGATTTTGGGTTTCCCTGTTCTTTGTGCTCTGCTCCTAGGACACTTCCAAGCGGGGTCAAAATAATCTGCGCTCCTGCTGTTTACCAGCACCCAGAGCAATGCACGGCGGGGGTTTCTCTGTTGTATCCCCGTAACTTCTGTAGCTGTAAAGCTGCAGTCCCATGTAAAATCCCACCACGGGGAAGGTTTTGTTGCCGAATCACTTGGTAGGTGAGGGGATTTCGTGCACCCTGTGGCTGTTTCCCCTTGGGTGGAGTGGAAGGGGGCTGTGGGGGGTGGAAGTGAATCAGACTGGCTTTTGCAGCCATATTTTGGGGTGTAGGCTCTTCTCTCTTGCCCAATATTTTGCTTTTATTTACAGCCCTCTCCTCAGTGTCTGCTGGCATGCTGCTGCCCTGGGCAGCCGCCTCCTGCCTGCCGCGAGCGCCGTCCAGCCCCAGGCTGTTGCCCTGCAGGCATGGAGACAGCAGCTCCTAAGGCATAACATGCAGCCCAAGGGCTGAGGGCAACTAGGCGCCGGAGCTCCTGCCCTGGGGGGTTCCCCAGCCTGGCGTGTAGCCCTCGGCCCCGGAGGGTCGGATCACTTGGCGTCGGATCCGAGCCTTGCACGTGATCTGCCCCTATCCCCGCCGGCCAGGTAATCGCTGCCTGCTCCTTCTGCCACCATCTCTCGTGCTGTTGATGTTTTTAATCGTTAGGAAATGTATATAAAGTTGATGGATGATGTGATGGTGATATACACTACCTACACAGTCTTTAAAGTAAGTATATTTGTAAAATCTAATAGAAACCAAGGCTGGCAGGAGGCTTTTGTTACTGGAAGTCTGTTTTTGTCCCAACACATCCTTCCATCAATTCTTTTGTGAGAGCTAAAAATTGGCTGGCTTTAGTGGAGTTAATAATCATCTGAAATGGAGTTGAGCAATTGATGTTGCTGCATCAAAATGTTTCCCTCCTCCCTTCCCCCTCCTTCCCCCCACTTCCCCCAAAAAAAGAAATTCCTGGCTGATACTCAAAATCCAGTTCAGTTCTCACTGTGCAAGTATTAAACTGTGGGTCTTTTCTTTCAAGTTTCTGGATTTTTATGAGCACAATCGGTCTGTTAACAGGACTCTTTTTTTTTTTTTTGTGGTTTCAATGCATTTATATCATTGACCTTTGCTTTAAAAAGTGTCTGACAGTCTTTACTGGACTGGAGCTATGAAAAGGAGTGTTGTAAGGGGGCTTTATTCTATGGAAGCAATGACCACAGGCAAAGCTTTATATTTGCTGAGTGATTTAATTCTTGCACATGCAGAACTTGGCTCTGTGCCATGTGTAACATGTTGAGAAAAGGTCTGCTTGAGAGGCATTAAAACCAAACTTTCCAAAACTGTCTGTTTTTTTTTTTTTTTTAAATAGGTTTCTTTCCTGTTATTTTTAAGCTAACGAGTAAAACCAAGGGACGCTGCGCCAAAATGCTGCATTGAGCTCTAGCAGGGTCATTGGGGAAACAAACCTCCTTGAAAGAAATGAAGTGGGCGTCTGGATGGAAGGGTGCCAGCCGGGAGGAAGAGGAGGGTGTCATTAAGATAAAGGCTTGATCAAGGGACAGGAGAGAGTAAACCGGAGTACCCTGGTCTCCAGGAGGAAGCCTGGGAGGGTGAAGATTATACACCTCTAGTGCTTGGTCCTGTAAAGTCGTACTCGTAGGGCACATCCCCAGAAGATGAGTTTTCAGGCTAAATATCAGATCTCCCCAAATTAGTTGCTTTTCCTTGCTTGGCTCTGCCCGTCCTCTGCCCACTTACAGGAATAGCTGTCTGGTAGTGGTCAGAAGCAAATAAAAACAAACTGCTTTTTGTTTGCTCTTATTTTAAACACTGTGACAACATTTGGATTAATGGTAGGTCTTGTGAAAAGCTCTTTAAAAGTCAAACATACCGAGCTGCTTAACAGCATCCCTTTGAATTCTGCATCTGCCTGCTGCAATTCCAGATAATGGTCTGGAGAGTAAGAAAACGTCGTATTTCTTTTTCCTTCTTGTAATCAGTCCATTGAATATGCCTGAAGTTTCATATTCTGGAACTATTTAATTGTGTAGCCACTTGGGCTGAGTTCCGTATTTTGGTGTGCCTTTGAGTATTTCCTCTTCCTTTGGCAAGCAAACGAACAACAGAAATACTAAATTATGTTAATTTCTAACAGAAGCAATGTCTTCCCAAAAGCATTGCAATCTACTGCATTTTAATTAAAAACAACACATCAACAGTGCATCAAGCCATTTGGAGCCTCAGCCTCTATTAGTTTTAATCAGCTGATTTTTCTAGCGGCTTTTAGAAGCAAATTGTGCATTGCTCGCCCTTCCTCGGGAGGAGCGAGGGAGAGCAATAGATCATCTTTGTGCCGGCACACCGAACCCCAAAATACTGAATTAAAAAGGTGCGTGAATAGGGTGGAGGTTATACAGGGGGAGAGCTAAGAGGAGGGCGCACCCAGCGGTGTGCAGGGGTGCTCCGCTGCAGCTGCAAATAAATCCATCTCCTGGCAGAGACCAAATCACGTTTGGTTGGGTTGCTGTCCTGGCTTCCCTGCGCAGCACGCAGGGGGTGAGGTTTCCCGCAGGTCGCCCCAGGTCTATCGGAGATACGGAGAGGCACTTCTGCACGCTCTCCCCCTCGGCTTCGGCGTTTGCCAGGTGCGCAGGTGGGATGAGCCATAGCTGGCAGTCGCCGTGCTGGGAGGTGGATGGGAAAGAGCATTTTATCCATTCCTGTGATTTCGCTGAGAGTTGAGCCTGAATGCTGCTAGTATATAAAGTTGCTTATGAAAGCAATAAGTTTGAAGCCTCTATGTGGAGAGACTGGCATGGAAAGCCAAAGGAATGAGGGTAACCCCTGCTTTTTATAGCCTCCTGGTATTTGTTCATGCCAACTAACACCAATATCCGCTACTTTAACTGTGCAGAGCTCCACCCTCCGTGCAGTCAGCCTCGGTGCCCAAGTAAACAGGCTCCGGCCTGGGGTTAGCTATAGTGGAAACCACAGGGGAAGGGAAAACCCTCTCTGTCTTTCCCTGGCTCCTCCTGGGTAGGAGAAGTCGACTGGGGAGAGGGGCCTTGCCCAGGTGGCCGTGGGGATGTTGCGTGGAAGGGATAAACAGGATCATGGAGGAGGAGCGGAGGGAGCGCATGTGGCCGGCTGCTGGGGAGGAAACCCGAGTGCGACACCTGAGCTGCTGCCCTGGCCCTTGGGGGAGAGCTGGGAAAGCAGGTGGTGGGCAGGGAATTGTCCGTTCGGCCGAAAATCCGGGAGGTGCTGCTCAGCACCGATGCGGAGGGGAGGTTATCATCCACACGGGTGCTCTTTTATCGTTCAGGCGCAGGGAGCACGGGTGTCCCAGTGTCCTGCGGGACCCGGGGCCGGGGCAGGTGCTTGATGAAGCTGGGACTGGAGAGGGGCTGTTGGAGCATCTGCTGGGGGCTGATACATGGGGATGGCCTTGGGCCAAGGCTTTCCAGAGCGAGTGATGATTTCTGGTGCCCAGCTGGAAATGCCATCAGGGCAACTGGTTTTGCAAACACTCAGCCTTTCTTCAACTCCCTATCACTTTTTGGAAATTGTTGCTCATGGGTTTTATATCCCACTTCCAGCAGGCATTTCTGCGCAGAGTTCCCCGCTCTGGAAAGGGAGTCCAAAACACTGACGATGGGTTTGTACTTTGGATGCCTCCCAGCACATCCGTATTTCACTGTTGGTTTTTCTCTGTGCAGCTCTGGGAAATGCCAGTGTAAAGTTGGTGTCACGGACCTGAAGTGTGACCGGTGCAGTGATGGATACTACAGGTTTAATGAAACCACCTGCGAGCCATGCCAGTGCAACAACCACTCCAAAACCTGCCACAGCTTAACAGGTAACTTTCTTTTTGTGACTGTGGTGGGTGCAGGCTTTACCCGTCTTTCTCTGCCTCTGGTTTTTGCCATTTTCATTCAGCAGACCTCCACTCTCATCCTCTTCATCTGCATCTTTCTGTCTTGACTACCCAGAGTCTTTACCTTAACACTGAAATTAAAATGTGTGGCAAGGTTGGAGCGAGTCCTCTTCTCAAGGAAGTCAATAAAGGCTGCGTTATTTACCCCAGGGTGCAGTGCAGAGCCTTTATTCTGCAGTCTCTATCAGAAATCACTGCTCTATTGTTCTCTGCACTTACACAAATACACAACACGGGCTTTTAAGGAGCTTTTGTTTAACTGCTGTTTACCTGGAAACATATACTGTACTGGCGCTGACGTAAGGTGACTGTTATTGCCACAGATAACATGATTAGTGCTGGAAAAAACTGGCAGCACCTAATTAATATTGCCCACTTTTTATAAATTCACCTTTTTCATTTTCCTTGATCATGTCTTTGACTGTCTCCCACTCACATGGATGTCGATGGAGTGCAAATGTTGAAGCACCTGTGCTTGAATAGCTTATGGGAGGGCAGGCGGGGACCTAATTGCCTTCCCATCTCCGCTGAAAGGCGAGATCCCGGAGGAGCAATGTTATGTGACTGCCTGCGCAATCCCCACTGTAGCAACAAAACTCATACTTCAAAATCCAGATTCTCATCAAAACTTCCAGGCTGAGATGCAGTTCTGTAATGTTTGTCCAGGAGCTTAGAAAGGAGTGATAATTTAAAAAATGTTGCAGGGTTTTTTGTGTAGCTGGCAGAGAGGCAGAGCTCATCAAATATGGTATTTCTGGGCAATTTCTGCACCGGTATCTGTTCCCTTGTGGCCCCTGTGTTTGCAGCAGAGGAACGGGCGGGCGCAGTGCTGACTGTGCCCAGCCAATGCCCTGATCCTGCTCGGCACAGAGGGTGTTTCTGTGGGTGTCAGGGGTAGCGGCAGGCACCAGATCCACACTCCCTGAGGATGAATTATTGCATTCATTCCTATACTGAACTTCATGTCCTTATGTCCTACCAGTACTGAAGGATATAAGATTGTACCTAAAGCTGTGCGCACATCAGCTGTGTTACTGATTTGGAGCTGGGTGTGTGGGTTTTGTGAAGGAGTAGGATAATCTGCTCTTCCTTTTTCTCCCTCAATGTTCGCCCTGCTCTTGATTTAAAAAAAAAAAAAAAAAGAACAAAACCAAAACAAACCCCAGCACAGACCTTGCCTCTGGGATGGGGCTGTTCAGGCAGTGCTTCTGCTGGGGCTGGCCAGCGCTGACCTCAGCATTGCAAAGAAAAACCCTCTTTTTGGTTAATGACCTATTGTTGATTTGACAAAAATATCTTCTTAAAAATTTTCCTCCATCTGCTTTATTTGCTGCTGGGATTGGGGGAACCCAACAAAACCAGAACAGAGAACAGTCAATTAAAAATTAGATCTGACATCTAATAAGTAAGGCAGTGTACTCAGCCTGCTCTAGAGGCTGCACTTTGTGTGACCTCCCCAGCTTTACTTCAACTGTGTGTTGTCTTTGTTGAATTTTCAAGGTTTCTTCCGCATTAACGCTGTACTTCGGGCTCCCTCTGCCGGCTCTGCAGCCGGCGTTGCTCTGGCCAGGAGGAATATTTAAAATTACTGGGCTGGAGATGGGGTGGCCGGAGCTCCCCAGGCGACAGCGCTTCCTTCCACACGACCCTCATGCCCTGTGTTGTGTCTGTGCAATGAGTTTGGTTGCTTCTTCCCAGTTGGGGTACTGTGAGGTCTGATCCTTCCCGAGGGCATTATCAGGATGGGAAGTGTTATTAATTATTAAGGATTTCCACAGCGATACCTAATTGCAAGCCCATGCGTGCTTTGCATGGCTGAGCAACTTGCTGACTCATTGAAAACGCAGTCATTTTGCAGGGTTGGTGTAGGTAAATGCGAGTAATTTGCGCCGATGGGAAAGACATTGGTCCTGAAATGACCAAGACTGTACAGAAAACGCAGGTGTGATTCCAGATTTATACCACCATTAATGCCTGCAGAGTACGGTTCAAGGCACCCTTAGTGCTGATCGGGCAAATTGACCTTCCACGAGCCAGTCTGTCCTAGGCATCCCGCTGAAGCAGCTGATCGAGGTTTGCAACTGGAGAAACCGAGACCAGCAGATAATTTTCCTCTCTAATCCTGACATCTCTCCCACAAAAACCACCGGCTCGTGTCTGACAAGCTGTTGGGTGAACAGCAAACAGTGTGTGGGAGCCGATGCTGAGCAAGTGTCCTTAGTCATTGGGGTGCTGCCAGCCGCGCCGTGCGGGTGAATCAGCTGCTTCCCAAAAGCGGCAGCTGCCAGGGTTTGCCTCCCGCCCTGGGCGCGAGGGTCGGCTGCAAGGATGCGCCGGGCTTGCTCAGGGATGCTCGGCTGCAGAGTCATCGCTGTGGAAAGAGAAGAGGAGGAGCCGTGCAGTGTGTTGGGCTTGCAAGGGAGCCAGACCATTTCAGTATTAATAAGAAAATCTGCTCTGGTTTTCTTAACAGTCAGCATTAACCTAATTCAGGATTTTTTCTGTGGTTAATGTTGATATGAGTCTTTTTCCATACCCCCGCAGCACTGCTAGATTAGCTCAGTGAATCTCCTGTCTGTGCTTATACATGCAGGGAATAAACTGCTCTGTGCCGCCCTGGTTTGTGAGAAGGTGGCTGCTGCCTTTTCAGAGTCTCGTACACGGCATTTAATGAAATAAGCTTCCCTCAGGTCGCTGCCACCTCGACGAGGAGCCTGCTGAATTACAGGATGTTCCTGTTGATGGATGGGCTTTTGATAGAGGCTGTGTTTTTATAACTACGGAGATTTTTCTTTCTCTGGTCACAATAGTATCAAAATGCAATTTAGAGGGCTGTTAGGACGCAGCCTCTGCTAAGATGTGGCACATCGATTTTCTGATTCAGGGTCTACCCCAGGAAGGGGAGGTGGCTCACGTGAACCCCCAGTTCCCCTCTGTTTCTCTGGGAAGGTCAGTAATTACTGCTGCCTTGTCCCTGTAGCAAACGTTCCTCCCGTGACGGGGATGGAGGAGCTGGAGCCGCACTGGTGGGACGGAGCCGTCTGCCCCCAGAGCAGGAGGGTGGCACTTCCTCACCCCTGACCACCAGCTCTGCGGTGTAGGAATAGGTCCCACACAACAAAGGGCAAAGGTATAAACTGGAGGGGTCCCTCACGAGAGCGAGGGATTTGAAGCACCAAGATCCCGGCTCACTGGCACAGATGCAAACTGAAGCCTCGTTCCTTGAGGACCGTTTAATATTGCTAGCGTGTGTTGACCTGCACTGACCTTTTAAAGCGGTGAACGGTGGGCCTCTCTGCTGGAGCTGCCTCCTTTTTCACATTACGTGTGTGTGGTGTGGAGGGGGGACGACCATCAGAAGGTCATAAGAGGCCAGGATCGTGTTTTGGCCGGAGGGCATCCAAAATCACCTGTGAGCTCTGATAATTGAGAGCGCTCCATGCAGATTCTTGCTCCAAATGTTCTGTTCCAGTTCCTGCTGCCAAACGGTTGCTTGTGCTCCTGTCCCTTCCCCAGGCATCTGCCTGCACTGCCAGGAAAACACCGAGGGAAATCACTGCGAGCTCTGCAAGGAGGGCTTCTACAGAAGCACCCGTCCTGCCCACACCTGCCATCGCTGCCCCTGCTCCACCGTGGCATCGACTGGCACCTGCCGAATACGTAAGGCTTTCGTTTTGGTCTAATTTCTCAGATAATGAATGTAGCTCTTCTCAATATGTTTCAATTAAATTGCCAGTCAGTGTGCATCAGCCTAGTGAGGCAGTTTATAGCCTGTGAATCTCCCATTCGTGGGAATTGGGGCACCTTGCTGGAAGCAGTGCCTGCCAGGATGTGTCCCTGGTGCTTGCGTTGTCTTTTTTGAGAGCAGCTGCGCAGCGGAAGGCATCAGAAATGCTTCGCTACAGGCTGCAGCCTGCTCTGAAGAACCTGCAAAATTCTGCAGAGAGAAACTGCTGGGCTCGTGGCAGCCAGGAGAGGTACGGGAGGTGGCCAGCAGTGCCACGTAGCCATCCATGCCTCTGTCAGCCCTCTTCTGAACATCGCCATGGGACTCCAAACAGAGATTCCGCAATCTTCCTGCTCTATTTTGATGTAACCAAGAGAAGTCATAGCTGTAATAAACATATGTAAGACTTCTTTTGATATTTCCTTAATCAGTTTTGCAGTCAAGCCTCCTCTGGCTTCATATAGGCCAAAAAGTTCCTGTAGATTGCTAACATCCCTGATATAGTTCCAGCTGTTTTCTGAAATTGTCTGTTTGAGATGGGAATGGTCAGGAGTAATAATTTGTGTGCTTAGCAAACATGCTGAGCATGCTCTCTGAGGCTGGTACAAGGCATCAGAAACCGCCAAAGCTTTTTTCCCCCTAGGAACAGAGAAATGCTGCAGTTCAAAAGTTATATTTTCAGCTTAATTTTTGAGATTGGTTAATACTCAGTGGCTGCTGATTTTTGTCATAGTGACTTGTGGTCAGGTCCCACAGAACAATTCCACAGTGGGTGCTTCTCTGCAAGGGGCTGTGGCACCCACCGGGTTTCCTCTCTGTATTCTTTAGAGCCTGGTGAAACTGCCCCAAGGTGTGACAAATGCAAAACTGGGTACACTGGCCCGAACTGCAACCAGTGCGACAATGGCTACTACAACTCCGACAGCATCTGTGTGAGATGTAAATGCAACGGGAACGTGGACCCAGCACGGTCACCCAGCGTGTGCAAGCCGGATAGCGGGGAGTGCATCGGTTGCCTGTACCACACTGCTGGGTTTCATTGCGAGGAGTGTGAGGACGGCTACGTCCGAGACCCCGAGGGGACCAACTGCACCAAGAAAGGTAAAACATACTCCTCAAATCAGTGTCGAAGCTTGCTGTGCGGCTCAGGTGGACACAAGCTGCCTGAAGGCCGGGGAGGGAATGCTGTTAATTGTTCACATTTGGTTTAGATTCATCTGGCCTGTGGTATAGGGAAGGAAACCAGACCTTTATAACATGTGGGTGCCTGTGGGCCTTGAAATCTGTGCTTGAGAGTTAGCTCTGTGACCACCCTGATTCCCAGACTGTGGCAGGCACCTCTAGTGAGCAAGCTGGAGAACAAAAGCTATTTGCGGTGTATTTAAATCTAGGTTTTCACATTTCTGTTGCTTGATATACTTGATCTCCTAGCGCCCAGTGAATTGTCCTTATTGACTAGACCATTCAATAGCACTGTCTAGTTCCCTAGAAAGGGTATTTATAATAAATTTTGTCACTCCTCGTACTCTGCAAACAATAACTACTTGGACCAAGTTTAGATGTTTGGGGTTTTTTTTTGGTTTTTTTTCTTTGTAAATGGGGAAGGCAAAGCTCAGAGAGGTGAGATCTAAACTTGCACGAGTTAATGCCAGAATTTACTGGTACCTGCTCTGGAGGTCTCTCGTCAGTCTTCAGTCCACACCTGAGACACTGTATGTAGCATCTCAGACGCAAACTAGCTCTGGTACTTAGAGAGGCTACTGCATAACAGGAGGACTCAGAGTAAAATGAGAGAAAATGGTTCTTAAGTTGCTCCTTCAGTGGTTATCAGGAGGTTGGTCCACAAGGTGGATCTCCAGCTCCATGCATGGAAACATTACAGGTGTTATGTGTTAGATAAGAGAACCCAGAGTTCAGGAAAGTATCTGGGCCCAAATTTGTCCTTGTCACCAACAGAGATTTAATTCAGATCTTCTATTAGGCGCTAATGTTGGTTTTCACTCCCATGCTGCTCTCTGGAGGTGTAATCACAGAATCCTTCTCTGTGCTGGGAGGTGATCAATACAAAAAAGTTGAATGCTCATTAGTGGTAACTGTACCGTTACAGGGCTGGAAATGGCAGGTGTGCATCGGGTCATCCATTATCTCCCTCTGCACAGCTCTGTCTTTGTACAAAGAACTGCATGACCTTGCTCCATTAAAATCCATGTGTATGGCTTTGCTTGTATACTTGCAGTTCTCACCATTCATTTTATTTTAATGGCATTGTTATAGGCAATTCCTGATGTGGGGATAGACTGTCCCCTTTTAAAGGGACTGGGACATGCTCTTCTAGCTTTCCTGTTTCCTTGACACCTGTTTTTTCCCTTTCTTATTAAGCAATTAAAAAGGCGTACAGATTCTTTCCAGTTTCTTACACACAATTTGCCTAAAAATCAACATGCTGAGGTACTGTGCATTAACTAGTTTTAGATTAACGTTTTCATAAACCACTAGTGCATTTGAGTGGCCTGGCTTCGAGTGGCTTCTAGAGGGAAATCATCACCCACCCGATCTGCAGATTAAATTGTTGGAGTCTGAGACTCTTAAGTGGTCGCAGTTGAAAAAAGGCAGCGTGTTTTGTACCAGCCTCTAGTAGCCGCAGGGACTGTTCAGAGTCTTAAACCTGACCAAGACTTTGATGCTTTCAAGGCTGATGGAGAGAATATTCAAAGGACATGTGGGATGCCCAAAGTCAGTGTTTCCGACCTGGGTGGCTGTGTTCCTGCTGTGAGGGTGAGGCACAGCGGCAAGGACCGAGTGATGCAGCGTGGCACTGCGCCACCCAGCCGAGCGTCACAGCCTTCCGCGCGAGCTGGCGCGTGGGCTGCTGGCGCGGCCCTGGCTCCTGCTGGTGCTCATTCATCGCAGGAGGTAGCAGAAGCTTTGCAGAGACTGCATTTCAATCAAGCAGCTGGATACGACGCTCGTGTCAAAGCTGCCAAAGCAGCCCATTGACTGAACAGCTGCCGCTCTCAAAGAACTGCTTTAGGACATCTGGAGGGCTGGCACGGCCCTGGTGAGCGGAAACAGGCAGCGCTGTGTCACGGCCCAAAAGCGACAGTCCACGGTCAGAGCAGGGCACTGTTTCACCATGACGTTACCATCAGTTCCAGGAAATGTCTTCACCCATGTCCCCTTGCCAGGGCTTAGCTGATGCTGACTCACAAATAAAGCCCAGAAAAGTCCTGTTTCCTTGCTGGTGAATCAGCCATTGTCTCTGTTCTGTTTTTTTCTAATTATAGCTACTGGCAGGGTTTGCCAAGAATTGAGTGTTGATGAAGGAATTTGGAAAGGGTGACTGAATTCCTTATGCCCTTCTCCCAAAGCTGTATCCAGGAACCTCTTGCTCCTGTCACGTTGCTTCCTACTGCTAAATTCTGCCTGTTATCCCATAGAGAAATGCCTTCTGGCATTCAGCATCCCGAGTATCCTTATCAACCTAAGGCAGGGCCTGCAAAGAATAGAGGAGCTGCTGCAGGGAGGGACTCTGAGCAGGAGCCTAAATTAGGTGTGTGATGCCCCCTCCAGAGGAGTTTCTTTCTCCGTTGCCTGAACTGGGAACGTGACAGCCCAAAGTTAACTTGCGGCAGCTCCCCCGAGGGCCCGCGGCAGGAGAAGTGCTGAATATTTCCAGCTCCTGTTGCCATAGGAGATGCAACTTAGTGCAAAATGAGTCCTTCGGAAGTGACTCTCCTCCTCAGTCATAATAAGTAGACGTTCTCTTCAGGAGAGCTGGATCAATACAGCACAGCACCATCAGCTGTAATTGCTTGAGCTGTAAGTGGGTTTAAAATGAAGTTGCATTTCTGATAGCAGAAAGAGAAATGGAAGAGAGTGCGAAAGAGGGTGCAGAGAGTCCTGTGGAGCAATAGGTGTAGAGAACATTTTGGTCAATTGAGGCTTCAGCTTCTGGAGGGTTCCTGTTGCCTGGACTTGAGAATTTAAAATAGATCAGGTTATTCCTGTGAAGAAAATGCTTTATTAGTTATGTTTTGGAGCTTAATACTCAGGCTTTTATGGTGCTTTCTGAGGTCTATAGCTCAACCGGTTTGAAGAAGGTGTAATGAATTTGCATCCCACCTAGGAGATCTCCAGTGTTAACTTGTTGCTGACTCCTAGATCTGAGCTGGGAGCTACCCCGTGTCTGCAAGGCAGGTTCTTGGCTATTCTGTGCCTGGGAACAGGCTGCAGAGGAAGACGGAGCTTGTGGCACGCTCTGGTAGTTCCCATGTTCTCATCCTTCGTGTGCGGACATATGCCAGCAGCTGAAACCAAAACAGGATCCAGACTGGCTTCTGCTGTGTTCGAAAGCTTCATAAGAACATCCACGGTCGTTTTTTTTTTTTTTTTCTTGTGATTTGGTTACCTTCTGCTTCTGGTTATGCAGACTGGGGGTTCGCCTGAGATTTCTGTATGACTTCTTCATTCAAAAGCAGAACTGGGATTATTTTGCCTTTTTACATAAAGCAGGGTAAATATTGAAACCTGTTGCTAAACACTGTGACAGTGGAATACTCATGGTTCATTTTTTCATTTTTGATCATCTTGTACAGGTAAGGCAGAAATAATAATATTGTGAACATAATCCTGCACCTAGTGCACTGTGAGAGGATTAAGCTCCTGGAGTCGCTGTGTCCTCTCAGCCTGATTGTGCAGCCCACGTAGACAACAAGTGAAACTCTGCCTTCGCTAGGTTCCAAGTCCAAACTCTCGCTGAGCTTGGTAGAGCCCCATTTTCATGGGCTGAACATGAGCTGGCCTGGGTGGCTTGCTTTCCTCCTGAGCTCATGTATCTAACACTGAGTCTTGGCTACTGCACCTATCCATCCATCACCAGATTTTTCACAGGAATGCTGCAGTCAGTGAGCACTTAGCACACAGCATTATTTAAACAAAAAAAAAACAAAACAACAAACCAAGTCCAACCCTGGCTAACCATTTTTGTAAACTATTTTGAAAAAATACCAGCTTTAACAGTGTGAACTTAATTGCCATAATAACTGTGATATAAATGTCGAATCTTTTATGTTTGTGTTTGATTCCAGCTTAGCATATTTTTATTGATAATTTTTTATTTGTTTTGTAGAAGCCACTCTTGGCCCAGAAACAAGGGAGTTTACAACTTCTGCTCCAAATGCCAGCAAGGCAACATCATTTTCAACGGCAGTGATAAACAGTACGTTGTCACCCACAACTATACAGACTATATTTCCTATAAGTTCCTCTGACAATAGTACCTCTGCTTTTGCAGATGTTTCATGGACTCAGTTTAACATCATTATTTTGACAGTTATCATCATTGTTGTGGTCCTACTAATGGGCTTTGTGGGTGCTGTCTACATGTACCGTGAGTATCAAAACAGAAAACTTAACGCTCCTTTTTGGACCATTGAACTCAAAGAGGACAACATCAGTTTTAGCAGCTACCACGACAGCATACCCAACGCTGATGTTTCGGGGCTGTTGGAAGACGATGGGAATGAAGTCGCGCCGAACGGACAGCTAACGCTGACGACTCCCATGCATAATTATAAAGCTTAGAAGAAGTGATCCAGCTATTCCGAAGTTGGCTTAAAAAAAGTTACGGGGCTTGTTGAAGGGTATCAGGATCCGTGCCAAGGCTCCATGCAGAGGAATTTGCTCTTCAGATACTCTTAACACTGGGCATGCTGTAGCTTGCAGGTGAACAGAAAAAAGTGTAGTACATCCGAATTTCAGGTAATATGGTGAAATGCATTCAGTGTCCTGTTCTCCATAAAGATCCGTAGAACTCACTGTTGTTAAAGACTTGATTATGCTGATCTGAAAATGTTTTTATGAAGAGGTGGTGGGGTGGGGAAAGCAGTACCCCAGGATTAATCAGAAGCTACTTGATTTCCAGCCAACCTAACACTTATGTCTGCATCCTTTAGTTTGAAAAGTAGCTCATGAATTAACAGTGGATTTTCAGGAAACAGACCTTTGGAAAGGCTTCATATTAGTTCCTGATATAAATTTCTTTGAAAAGGAGGACAAAAAAAGGGAAATAATTGTTTGCTGTACTACCAAAAGGCAAGTAGAGGAGTGAGTTGCACACTTGAAAAAAGTCACCATTATCAGTTTCCACTAAGCAGGGAAACAGGAAAAAAAATTATGAAAATATTGGAGTTAGGGAAGAGACTAAGCTTTTCCCTTTCTGAGTATTTATACAGGGTGATGATGATGCTATTAAAACATAGCAATCCATTTTTTTTTTTCTAGAAGGAGTTAATGAACTTGTATAGTTTCTGTGCAAGGGAAGACGACAAGACATCTCAGGGTTGCCGTGTAAAAATAAAAGCTAGGCTTAATACCCTACCCTGATAGAAATGGTCTGTTCTGTATATAAAATGTAATATATCTACTTGGAATTGTATTTGTAATTATTTGTAAAAAAGACAACAAAACAACCAACCAAAAAAACCCCAACGACAAAACCATGAACCCCTCCCCAACCCCCCCTATTCCCCAAGTCATATTTTATCATCTAGATTTTAATTGTACAGCGGTTAGTGGCGTTGTTTAAAAAGAAAAAAATGAGGATTGTTTAAAATACTGTAAATTAGATGGCAATATTGTTGGAGCTGGGACTCTGGCAAACACCGACTGCTTAAAGCTTTTCTTCTAGTGTCATTGAATAACTTTCTTTTCTAGAGAAAATGTGAGTGCTCCCTACTTGCATCTGTCAAATTTTCCCATTCCTTTAAAGATAGAGTGAATACCAGTGTTGCCATGACTAGGGCCGCGTAGGTGTCCAAAAATCGGATGTACCATTCTGTTACTTGCTTTTAAAGCTTTATACAAAATGCAAATACGCTGTCATGAATGCATTGAGAGCCTGATCTCGATGGCCGAGCTTTTCCGAAGCAGCTGCTCATCATGCGAGTGGATCTCGTTGCCGTCTCTCCCGTGCTGACACGGCGACGGGGGAGACTTGCCGGAGGGCTGAGCGCAGCCTTCTGGCCTCTTGAAGGGCAAAAACAAAAATCTCCTGGATTTGGGTGGAAACGGCTTTCAGCCGAAGAGCTTCCAGGAGCTGATGTGCGCTTCTACGCTTAAAAGCTAAAAGTGCATGGATGCTTTCAGGAAATTTATGTAGCACAAGGTGGTGATGGGAAATCAGCTGTCAAAAACCTACAGGAGACTTTAGGTTTTGCAGATTCCCCTGATTTTTGTGGGAGGCTGGCGGACTGTTAGCAGAGGGGGAACAACTAACGGGCAGCACAGCACAGGGAGGCTGCACCACGGAGCTCCTCGCTCGGTACCTGCAGTGTGCGTGCGTGCCTCGAGGCAGGCACCGTGCCCGCCCCGTGCTGGGGGGCCGCCAGGTCCGACCCATGAAAATCAATACCATGCCATTTAAGCAGGGCGTGAAACAAGTATTTCACCTAACTCATGACCAACCTCAGAACTAAAGCTGCATTGCTGTGCGTGTTGGTGCTTTGCAAGCGATTGATGCTGAGGATACATGAAGTACCTGCTAAAGGTCAGCAGGAGCTGACTGAGGCATCCTCAGAGCCAGGCAAAAGTAAATATTTCTCAAGACGAGAAATGGTAGGAAGAATGTGGTGATTATTTATTTGCTTTCTGGTGCTGCATGGAGGCTTTTCTTATCATTGGAGACTTTGGGGGAGGGGGGGAATAGGCGCTCTAAACACATGCGCAAAGATGCCATTTCTGCCTCAAAAACTTTTGCTGCCTGATTTAAAGATGAGGCACGGCAAGTAAGAAGGAAGATAGTTGAGGATGACCAAGGGAAACGGTGAGGGTAGGATGTGACATTGCATATAGGCCTGAGCTGATGGAAAAGCTCCCGTTGCCTGCTGCGGGCCTGGGAGAGGTCCCTTAGTTTATGTAATGAATTTGGCTGATGTCATTCAGAACAATGTTACTTTTAGTTATAAAACGGGGGAGGACTGGAGGAGAAAATCTGGATATTGCTAATCCTCGAGTTACTCATCAAACTTTTAAAGAGCAGAGTGGTGACAAAATAGAAAATTTCCTAAAAATTGTAATTATTTAGCAGTGCTGATTTAGTGATACACTTGCACTTGGTCACTTCATAGGGTGGGGAAAGGTAACTTAGGAAGTGCTAGCTTCTGGGACTAATGCTAGCAGGCAAAGTAAAGGACAGATTGTTCACTTTAAGGTTTCCAAAATATTTTAGTAGATCTCTTCATCTTTGCCACAAAACACCTCTTCCTCAAATTTTGGTATGACTGTAGGCTACTTCGTAACAGGAACAGGCTTTGATTTTTCTCTCACTGTAGAAATAATGACCATCTGCCAAACGGGAGTGTGAGTTCAGATGCTGAGCCCTCCTAGCCCATGCCTACCGCAGCACAGGAGGTGTTTGCATCTGGGCTGCTTCTGACCTCCAAATTATTCTAAACGCTTTGTGTTTGAGCCTCGGGTTTGAACAGAGGAGGAGGTCGGGATGCCTCGCGGTCGGTCTGCGAGGGAGGGTGGTACAGCCGTGCTGTTGCCCGTGGGTCACACATCGGGATGAAGGGATCTGGATGGCCCCCGCAGATGCGATGGGAAGCTTGGCTGGGCAGGGGGGCCGGGCTGCCCAGGTTTGGACAGCAGAGGAAAGCACAGGATGCTCTTTAGGAGGGACTGGAGCACAGCAAGGATGTGGCACTGGGACAACGCTTGTCGGATGGCACAGTACCTCCAGCCAGCCAGGCCTTTGGCACAGAGGAACAACATTTATAAAAGGAGATCGATGCCTCAGCAGAGAAAGAATAAACAGCTTTATGTTCGACTCTGGTGATGTGAGATTAGACCTTCCTTGCTCTCTCCGTCAGTCATGCAGCTGTCCCCTGGGCACCGCAGGAGGTGAGGAAGAAGCTGAGCTAGTTACATCTCTGATCAGCTTAGGCTGGCATTGTATTTCGAGGGGGTGCAGAGCTAAAACACCCGTGCCAGGGTGCTAAAGGCCACCAGGACCTGCCCTGTGTTACAGCTTGTCATGAAGCTTCCCAGGTGTTGAGGTCTGTCTTACACCACGTTGGGGTGTGGGCAGGTACACCAGAAATGGACGGTCAGGGCTGCATTGAGGCCCAACTCAGAAGGCAGCAAGACGAGGGGAAGGCATCTGGGTGACTTGTAGGGCTGATGTGGCAATACAGATACACATAGCTTTCCTGAAGGGCCACCGTGCATCACCCAACTGGGCATGCTGCTGTCTGGCTGCAGTGGTGTGGCTGTTGCGGAGAGAGGCGGTCGATGGCATGGTACGGTAGCTGTGGAGCATAGAGAAGGTACGACAAGGCAGGTGAGGGCTGGGTGAAGATGGGAAACCAGCTCTCAAGGCACGATCCTCAGGGGTGTGAGGGCCCTGTGGGTCCAGCTGGTCTGGATGGGGCGAGTTCAGTTCTGCAGTCAAAGGCGAGAGGATATAACGGAGCGGTTAAAGGGCAAAAAGCAATGATGTGTCAAAGGCACGGGGCAGCCTGGATGGCTCACAACACAGGAGAGCATTTGGTAAGCACAGAGTGCAGCAGACATGCAAAACTGTGATTGGGTTAATGTGGATATACGATCTCGAATCTGATGAACCACTGTAGCTAGAAATAACTGCGTGGAGCGCTAGCCCCGGGGAGCTGTCAGGAGATGTCATCCATTGGCATGATAATTCCCTTGGACCAGGCTGAGCAAACTTAGTACGCTGGAAGCCATTTACAAAAGAGGAGGGGATGTATTCAGCATCCTTCGGGTGTCCTGGGCCGGTTAACCACTGCTGTACAGCATCTTTGTCTCAAATGTTACATGCAATGTAAATGTGGCAGAAAGTTTGCACAGTCTTCTTTAAATAAAGGGTATGATTGAATCCTAAAAATACGTTTCTCTTTAAAGTGACGTTTTAAAATGAGCTCCCACAGGACTCTGCTCTTCATGTGTCAGAGGGGTGGATTAAAATAAGAAAAATGTGGGCCTTAAAAGTTGTACTTGCTCCCAACTGAAACCCATCAGTCTTACTACACATCCAAATAAGGCGTCTCCTAAGCATATGCTATGCTTACAAATGCATTTCTAAAAAAAAAAAAAGTGTATGATTTGAATATATGTCAGAATTTATACAGAAGAATGTTATTTAAAATGAATAAAAATAAATGTATATAATTTGTATCTATGCCACTTGGATTTTTGCATTTGTTTATTGTTCATTAAAGTCCAGCAGGAGTCTTTCCACTGATAGCAACCAGAGCTAGATTGAAACCTAAAGGACTGAATCTGATCTCATCCCAGTAATGACATTTGTTCCAAGAGAATTATTCCTTCATTATACCCCAGTATGTGAGATGAGAACCATGGCAGAAAAATGTATTTTAACATCAGATATTCATAAGTACAGTTGACATTGTGTCAGATAATCCATCTAAAAAATGAGCCCTATGATCTCTTGTATCTGCTTATTAATCATTCCAGCTTTCAGCTGCTTTCATTAACATGTTTGGTAGCGGGACAGTCAATGCCTGTTTCCCCATTATTTCTGTAATAGTCACACAGACGTATTTTGTCAGAGATGTATGCAGCCATTCAAAATGGAACC